CCTCAAATGAGATACTTTTTAAGCTTTCACATAATAATTGAAGCAATGTACTGAACTCTTAATTTCTACTACAATCATCTTAACCATGTTACCTATTATGGAAGTGTAAAGCAGGCCCATTCTTAGACACTTTAAAAAGTGGATCCTATTATTATCACTTGGGTTTTGACTGAACTTCATTGCATTTAGCAGGTTGGACTCGTGGCTTTCTCTTTACTCTTTCCAATCACTCTTTAGGAGAAGACAAGCGATGATTTTGTGAGACCACCCCCAAAATTCCACAAACAAAACTATGTGCAAGGCTTTGAGGCTTCCTGGCAACAGCTAGAACTGACTTCAGAGTATGAGAGCAGTCAGTCTGGAGTGGATCTCCAGGCCAAGTCGAGCCCTCTGATGGGTGCAGTCCTGACAGACAAACTAACTGCAACTTAACAAAAGACCCAGTGCCAAAAACACATAACTGATTGATTTTCAGATTGTTTTCATGTGTGTGTGTGTGTTAGGTATTACACCCCCTCCATGAAGGCATGGATGATGTTCAGAGGTTGATATAAGCTATATTCCTCAATTGCTTCTCCACCTAATTATTTGAGATGTGTTCTCTCACCAAGCTTATCATGTTTGCTGGGCTGGCTAGCTACCGAATCTTCAAAATATGCCTATCTTTGTGCCACCTTGCTGCCATTCCTGGCTTTTATGTGGAAGTTGGGGATCCAAACTTTGAACCTCATGATTGTATAACAAGCAAATTTACCCAGTGAGATGTCTTCCTGGCTCCTAGCTCTGATTCCTGCAGCTGCAGAAATTGTGTGAGATGACCAATATTCCCCACCTGGAACTTTTATGTTTTAGGGTAGTTGGTTGTTTTTTCATAAACACCGTATAAAAATGGACAATTGTTCACAATACGGGCTAGAATGTGTTAATTACAAGCCAGAGGGGCTAATTACTCTGCTAATGTCTTTCCCAGCTAGTACATAGACATTATCAGATTTTGAGTCCAAATCTATGTTTTCAAGGTCCAAGGTATTTCTACTTTTTCTCTGTGCCCTTAAAAGGAGTCTATGGTGGAAGTAATAAAGCTGCACCCATACGGAGCCAAAGCCTGGGGCAGTATTTGTTGTAGTGTGTGTCATTTGCTTTCCTCCTGAAATGAACCCAGAGAGTAAGAACCCTTAGAAAAAAAGTTGCATGTGGACTCCAGGTGATTTTAATTAACACGCCCCTGTCTCGCCTAAGACACCTAACAAATATTTATTTCATTAACATTAAAAACTGTGGAGCACAATTTAGCCCATAGTTTTCCTGAACATACACCATTATATTTTCACCCCACAGAAATACTTTTCAAAAGCTGCATTTTTACTACCACATAACACAGGCTGGAAAAGGCATATGGGAGGCCCTACCCACTGCTGCAACTGCTACTTTACTTGTTTTTCCAGGCACATCTTGGGTGAGCTGTGGGCTTGCTTTCTTGGCTACAGTTTAAATCATAGCCTAGGTCTCATTTTTCTTTTCCCTCTTTGCATTTGTGAACATTAAGATCAAGCCCTAGAGCATGCCTTCAGATTTATGGAGACAGTAATCCGTCATCCACACTCAAGGGGACTTTTGCCTACCTCTGATTGATTGAATTCTTCCAGAATTTTACCTTCTGACCACTGTTGGACATATTTTTCTCATCTTGCATCACAAAAGTTCAGCTCCCTTCCTACCTTTTGCAGCAGCATAACATGTAGGAAAACACACAAAGGGGTGCTGGTGGTGAGGAACGAGGCAGGGAGGGATGGAGGGAAAGAGAAAGAGAGACGAGAGGAGAGGCTGCTGAAGTTTCGATTTGCACTAGTTACCTAAACTTCATGAATATAAGCATGGAGATGGGATACCATTAGGCACACACCTGATACTACGGAAACCAGCTTTTTGTGCTGACTTCATAACTGCATATAGCAAACCAAATTATACAAAAACTTAGGAGAATAGCATAACGTGGTGGATCGGGCTGGTTTAAGGTTCTTGGCTCTCCTGTTCAGCCTCCCAGGTGCTAAGATTACAGATGTGCCCACCACAACTGGCAAGATATTGATCTGTCTTTCCCTGTAGTCTCTTCTTCTGTATTCTCTAGCACACTGGAAAGTTAGTCTTTATGAATGTAAATATAATATAGTACATATATTAATTATATATAGTACATAATATAATATTTTAGTAACAATTTAAAGCATTTCAAGAGAAAACTTGTTCATTCCTGATCTTTATGGTACACTTTTTAGCTGGAATAAAATTAGCTACATTCATTCTTCTGGTTATACTAGGTATCCAGTAGATTCAGACTTAGTAGTAACTAATTTCTGTAATTATGATTTTTAGACCACACCTCTGTGGACATCCATTTGATGGTTTTCAAACTCATACAGCATACCATCAAGCCATCCAGGCAAGAGCAGTTTCTTGCTCAAATAGCTAGAAAACTCCATAAGGAGCCTCTTCAATGCCCATCATCCTCTTAAAATAGACCGGTGCTGATGTGTCTCATTGTTGCAAAACATCCTAAGTTCTTAAAACATTTAAATGCCATATTCAGTTTGTCTTTGAAAGATTTGAATAATATCTATCCATCTGAAATATATCTCTGTACTTCTAGAAAACCTAACTAACTTGACTAGAAGTGTGACTATTTTAGATGACTATCTATTAATCTGTAATTTTTAAATTATACATTACATTTTTAAATGAGCTGCACAAACACAATACCTTAATAAAGAGCAGAAATATGCATATAACAGAATTGACCTTAAATTTGTATCAATAGACCAAGATCCATACAATTACAAAGTATTCATCTCTATATTATAACCCCATTTAAATGTAAATAAACATTTATAAACAATATTTGGAAATTTTGGCATAGTTCTCTCCAAACTGCTTTTTGCTTTTTGTGGGTTGAAGTAATTTTGTGGTTTATGTAGACCTTTTAGGAGGTCTTGGACCATTAAACCACATTAGTCTGGAAGGAATCCACAGGTTCTCAACCTCTGTGGAAATAAAAGCAGAACCTCTTTTCCCAAGAAACATATCCTTAGACCCAAATTTTTAAGTCAAGATACCTTTAAAATATCTATATTGGTTTAGCTTAGCATAACCATTTTATATCTCAGACTAGTATTTCCTTCATGTTTTACTTATACTAAAAACAGTTAGTAGACACACCAGCTAGAAAAGATATTGAAGACTTGAACTGTTACAAATTTTTGTATTAACAGTAGAATCCAGTGAGTTTAAAGATTTATTATCACCCAAATCCTTAACGTTTGAAAACAGCTAATGACTTTAAGCTTTTGCCGTGGAGTGTTTAAAAGCCCCATGGTGACACTTAAGTACATGTGTTTATACAGACATGTGTGAGGACCATTGGCAATGTCTTTCCTCTGGCTTCCTTTTCCATTCATTCACTCTAAAGAGAAACTTGGTGCTTGGAGCATGAATTCTAATTGATATTAATAATAAAAACACAGAGCCAAAAACTGAGAGATCAGAGAAGTAGAGTGGGCAGCCACTAGAGAGTTCTTTTACCTCTACCAATGCTGAGACCGAAGGGGCGATCCTGTCCTCACACGGGATCTCCAGGCTGCATCTGTCTCCACCAAACCTCAGACTGCTCCTCAGACTCATCCTGCCTTATATTCCTCTCTCCACCCAGCCATATTATTCCTGTCTCCTTCTCCCTAAGTGCTAGGATTAAAGCCCAGATCCCAAGTGCTGGGATCAAAGGTCTGTGCCCACCACTCCCTGGCCTCTAGTGGCTTAGCTTTGCACTCAGATCAGAACTTCCGAATCACTTCCTCAGTGTTCTTTCACAAAGAAGCTTAAAAGAAAACAAAAACCGTGGAGAGTGGACAGATAAGTTGGGGACTGAATGGCTTCATCACAACAGGCATATATGAGAGCGAGATTTTTAAAGTCTTAACTCACTACGGAGGTTCCCAAGGCCATTTCTTATCCCTACTATGCATAGGTGAGTCTATATTTTTGAATATAGGACAAAACTGCGGAGGAGTTTAATTTTCAACAATATTTGCCTGGCCTGAGATTCCGTCAAACACGTGATTCCCCTTTATTCTTTATACTTAAAAGTGTCATCAGCCAGTCCCAGAGGAAGGTCACGTTCAGAGGTTGAAAGCAAAAGAACTGTGCACAGTGCTGCGGATAAGGCTTCTTCACAGGATGCCACTGGACTCCCTAACCAGGAAAGTTGGCAGGGTCTCTCACTTTGGACGTCAGCTGTGCCATGCTCTGATGTCCTGTAAAGTAATTCTATCAGTCCCTTAAGGACGTTGCCTTTGGGAGGTTTTTAAGCCACTCTCCCCGCATCTGTTTAACCCTGAGAACCACCGAAGGAATCAGAAGTCCGCTGTTTCTCCTGGCGGGATTCCGCACAACCGCAAACACTGCAGGATGCATAGGAACAAGTTTCAACTGCACCCTGTGCAGCAGGTCCCTTGGCCCAGGGGAACAGCCACTGAGATCCGGAGCCTCCGCTCTTCTCATTGACCCAGAATGCCGAGGGTCCAGCGGCGCAGCAAGAGACTACAGCACCCACCCGGCCACCCACTCACTGTCCTGTCGCCTCCCGCCCTAAGACTGCTAGGTGTCCAAAAGCTTCTTATTGACAGCTAAGGTCTCAATCACGGGTTCCTCCTCTCAAAGCTAAAAGAAGCCAGAGGCAACGCAGTCTGGAATATGTAGTCCTCTCAAATTCCAGCACTCTCGAGATTCCCTCCAAAGGACACCAGAAGAGAAGGTATTCATTCTGATGCCACGCAATTTGCATTTACAATCTCACAGCGGCGGCATAATTGAGCCTCAATGGACAATTGGGCAGCTTCTCGGGTTGGGACAGAGAGAACGGACTACAATTCCCATGCTGCTTTGCGCGGAGCTGGAGCCGGCTGCTCGCTTTGCGTGACCGCAGCAGGTTGGTCCTGGAGCAGATGAGCGCAGAATATTTAGGCAAAACCGAGAGGAGGGGGGGAGCACGGGGCAGGAGGAGTACCTCGGCCAAGAAAATTATGCATGCGTTAGGCAAGCTCTGAGAGAATGGCTGTGGAAGGTAAGGGACGCTTGGGGCATTTTAAGCTCCCTCTTAACCCGCGCACCCCAATCCACACATCCCTGGATGAAGCTCGGCTCTGGCGGGGTGGAGAGAAAAGGGGGTGGCGGCAGCGGGCTCCTTCCCATTCGTACCACTTGGTACTCACCTGAGCCCTGCAAGGCCAGGAGACGCTTAATTCACTTGCCTTTGAGAGACGTTTAGGTGCGCAGTACTTCAGGGCTGGAGGTGGAGGAAAGAGCGCTCCCTAGTCCTAAGCAATGTGCTGGAAATGGGTGGATAGCGGGGAAGTCCAGCGCGAGGCTTCAGCCCTGACTTGCCCCTTTCCCTGTCCCCTCCAGAGACGGTAGGCTGGGTGGCCACCCGACTGGGGCTGCTCGCTTTGCCACCCAAACGTAGGAGAAGATTCTAGCCAGGTGTGTCATGCAGAAGGTTGGACTGCCCTTGGGTCGAGGACCCCGTGCCGTGCATACCCAGCAGTGGCTGCAGCTGGTCTGCCCCTAGAATGAGGACGTCTTCACACCTGTTTCTGTGTGGTCCTGCACCAGGGTTCGCAAAAGTGTATGGAAGTGTAGCCAGCCGCTTGGATTGGGGAATTCTCTTCTTTGAAGACTGCCTTCCTCTTTCCTCGTGTAATGCCGAACTTCGAATTTGCCACTTTGGTTGCACAGCCCTGCCTCTTTTGAACTTTCTGGTTAAGAATTGGGCCAGGCACTTTTTGAGGGATCCTGGTTTCCACGTCACTTTCGCTTACTTTAGAGCATAGACTTTTTTGTTTAGGGTAGTTTCTAGGGTGGAAAGGACAAGTGGACAAGAAAGTTTCTGATGTCCAATTAGAGGTATCATTGTACCTCTATATTGAAATAAAATATGAGTGAGGGGTTACATGGGGAGCCGACCTTCACTTCCAGAATTATGGTTCCTTAGTGCACTCGGGGCTAGAGGGGACCTGAAGTAGGAAAAGGAAGGCATGGCTGCCAGCTACATCAGGCTCTTTGCCAAAGGGAAATGAGGCGGTTCCTTGTAGGCTTCAGACAAGAAAAGCTCACAGGGTTTCTTGCTTCTGCCTTGCCCTCTGCCTCAAGAGACAGAAATGTTCTGACTCTTTACTTATTTAATTGAAGTAGCAACAGCACCACACTTAACACCTGTAAACTCAGGAATGGTGGCCTCTGGGCCATTTCAGGATAAGAGATTCTCAGCCTAAAGCCATTATGTCCAGCTTTCTCAGCTATACCAAAAAAAAAAAAATGGTCACCTCCCCAAAACACAATCTCCTGCCCTTCTCTCTGGTGGATAACAGATAGCTGATGGATGGATAGGTATATAGACAGACAGCTAGATAGACAGATAGATATGATAGATGATAGATAAATAGAAGATAAATAGATGAAAGATAGAGATGATAGATAAGTAGATAGAAGATAGATAAATAGATGAAATATATAGATCGATAGACAGACAGACAGATATTCCACAGAAACAGAATGCCAGCATAGTCTGCCAGAAGCTTGAGAACAAAGTCTGTTTATCTTCCCCACCTTGCCACCTTACCCATCAGGTGACTTTGATTATGATATCTCTTTTGTGTCCCCAAGTGAGGGACACTCCCTCCCAGTTGTTGGCAGTCCACAGTGATCTTAAAGATAATTTCCTGTTCACTCTGTTAGAAGTATAGCAAGAGAATCAGTCATATTTTTTGCCCTGTGCAGGATTGCACCAGTAAAATCAGACCTTACAAAAACAAGGACTTTGCAAAGTGCCTGTAGACTTCAAAGAGCTCAGTTTATGTTCTAGTGACTTCCTTGACCAAGACGCCTCTGTAGTACACAGGAGTCCCTGGGCCCGAATCAGAATGAGGACTGAAGTAGATGGGTGAAAGAGTGTTTGAAACCTTCCCTGGAAAGGATTCGTGCCTGCAAGTTTTTGCTAAGAGAGTTCTTTCAGAGGGGAGTAGGCCCTTCCTGGATACTCCCTGATGGTCCCTCAAGACTCAGGAAAGAAAACATTTCCTCCAGGAATCTATTCCAGACCTTGTAATCTTCTGCCTTTCTGAGTCATGGGGGCCTCCTGCTCTGATCTTCCCAAGCTCTAGTGTTTAAATCTGCTCTACACTCAATCCGTCTCTCACTGAACTCCGAGACATGGAAGGATGGAGAACATACACTCTAATTTCCCAAGCAGTAGTGTAGACCTTAGCCCATAGCAGGCTTTCAGAAGCTGCCGGTGGCTAGTGCGGTAAACCTTCATGCAACTTTTTAACTGACTTCATGAGTCTGTCCAAATGCCATCAAAGGGAAGCTTGGAGGTGTTGATTCCAGGAAGGGTCCCCTTCTTCGGCCTCAGTGTTTGAAGACTAGAGCCACTGTTTTCATCTACTTCCCACAGTGGCATTGTCCTCCTAGAAGCCAATGCTACTTGCCGAAGTGTGTGGACCATCGAGGTGCTAAATGCCCTCTTCGGTATGGCCATCACAGACAGAGTTCCCAGGTCAAGATCAGACATTGACCAGTTTACACATGTTCACTGAGAAATAGCGAGTCAGGGAAAGAGGAATTTTGTCAGAGGAACTGGAAAGGAAATTATATAGTAACTTCTGGGCTTTCATGTCTCTCTCTGGAAGAAAAAAAATTGACTTGCTAGTGTTTAATTATTGGGAATAGCTCAGTACAAGACAGGTCCTATAGAAGGGTGCCTAGAACACAGGTTAGCTACAAATGTTACTTATACTCACTGCCGTTCCTCTCCTTTAAGAAAAAGCCCTACTGCTTAGCACCTGTTTTACACCCTGACGTTTTACTTATTCATGCCAGCCACATTCTCTAATTAGTAACAAATTAGAAGGTTTTTATAATGTGTAACCCTCCTCTTAAGTAAGCTTGAGCTTGTAAAAATGTTAATTGCAAACAGGGTCCTTACTCATTTTACTGAATGTGTGGCTTCCTATTTATCATGGAAAAGGCTGCCCTTTGTTTAATGTTTTGTGGCTACTGTGACACACACACACACACACACACACACACACACGTACGTGTGTATATATCACATTGAATTTAAGAATGTTCTATTTGTATTTTAGTCTGATTGGACCCTTTTCTTTGTTTTGCATTTATGGGAGCCTGGGGTTTTATATAACTGCCTTGAGTGTTAATGACTTATGCTTAGGTCTTGTGTTTAGCCCAGTGTGTACCCTCTGTGAATGAATGGATGGATGAATGGTTGATTGAAAGGTGTTGGACAGTTACTGGATGAACTATGAATTGTTTTATTTCTGTCCTGCCCCCATACATGCGTGCTTTCCAACCATGGGATAGGATACCGTATTACAGTCTGCATTCTGTTGAGATTGTATTGTCGTGTTGGGTATTTTTCAATGGAGGAGGACCTCTAGTCACCCATTCTCCATGCATAGAACATATCGGCAGTTCTACTTATTGATGTGACCCTGCCCATCAGAAATGAGTTGTAATAGTATACAGGGAGAGGAGGAAGTGGAGATCCATTAGAGGTGGTGTTGTATTTGTCCCTGTGGTCTATGAGCATTGCCTGGCACTTAGCAGATGACGATTGTTTCCTGAATGAACACATGATTCCAGAGCTAGAGGAGAAGGGCGTTTCTCCTTGGCTTTGGATCCTTCTCTACTCCTTTATCCTTAATATTTTTTGACAAAGCAGGATGAGTGAGCATTCTTCTCTTCGTGTTTCTACGACAGGCAGTTCAAACAGAAGAGCTAGCACCACTTAAATGGCAAGAAAATGACTTCCAATTTTCAGCCCTAGAAGCTCTCCTCCCATCAAGAGAAGTATTTCAAATGGAAAGCTGTGTGTTCTAAGTGACATTTATGATCTGAATTTTTGCTCTTAACTGATCATACGTTTATCAAATGACATCTTACCAGTCATTCAGATTCTGTAGATTTTCTGTAGTAAGAAAGAAGCCCTGCTTATCACTAGATTCTTGGGAGACTAGGTAAACTGGAATAGAGGAAAGGAACCGATACTTCTAACAAAGAGAAGCAGTCATGGGGTAGTGGGTTTTGAGAACTTGTAAATGCTGGCCCTACCTACCACCTTGATTTGAGAACTGAACCCCTAGACAGGGATAACTCTATGAGAGAACAATGCCACCTTTATCGCAAGCCAGTATGGGTCACCTTTTGGACTCTGGATCAGATGGTATGTGGCCATGTTCACACTGCTCCGAGGGTGAACTTACCCTTGTAGACACCTCCTGTCTCTCTCACCGACAGCCTGTGAGCAGGAAGAACCGATACCCATAACTTCCTGGTATACCCCAAAGAAAAGAAGAGAGGGGCTGAGTGACCCATGCCTTGTGACTTTCACAGTCTTATACATAAGCCTACTGTCCTCTCCCCCACCTCCCCAGGAGGGACTGTGATCAGATCAAGAGAGAAGCCAGAACCATTAATGTAACCTCACTGTGCTGCGCGAGGTGGAGGTGGCTTCTCTGTCCTTGTATGCCCTGCAGTGTTATCCCACCTGGACTTTTACAACTGTTTTTCATGCTGTCTTTCGTCTAACCCCTAAGAACTCTCTGTATGGATGAATGAATGGACGAGAGTGAATGGCTGGGTGGGATTATGAGTTGTTTGAATTCCATACCAACCACTATGCTGAAGGATTCTGTTCACCTGTAGAAGCAGTGAGAAAGTGAACATGCTTCCCAATGTGTATCTCAATTCAAACTTTGCCAGTTTCTCCTCCTTCTCCTCCTCTTCATCTCTTCTTCTTCTTCTTCTTCTTCTTCTTCTTCTTCTTCTTCTTCTTCCTCTTCCTTTTCCTCTTCTTCTTCATTTAATTTAATTTTGTTTTCTAGTCCATCAGATCTGAATCACCTGCCTCATCAGCTCCCGTTGGTCACTGTTTTTGGAACTAAGAATGATGGCTAGTTTGGCTAGTTTACTCACTGCTGAAAATTCCTAAGGAGTGACTATGTGAACAAGAAATAAGGACTCAAACTTTCCTGATTGGAAATTTGC